ATAGTAGATGCTATATAAAGGGTTAGCTATTATTGTTATCCTGTCTATTTTCCATGATCCAATGGACAGATGATGCTACAATCAATTTACTATAATTATGAAGAAGAGTCTTTGAACTGATTATGCCCAAATTATTCAAAAACTTTGCCTTGTGTAAAAGGTCCAACTTTGTTTAGAAAATGAAGCAGGAGGCAGCTAGGTGGCACAGTGGATAGAGCTCCAGCCTTGAAGTCAGGAGGACCTGAGTTCAAATTTGGTCTCAGACACACAACACACAACATATACTGGCTGTGTGACCCTGGGCAAGTCACTTAACCCCAATTGCCCAGCAAAACCCAAAAAACAAAAACAAAAATGAAAATGAAGCAGGAGGGAGGGGTCTTAAAGTAGGGGGAGGGGCAGAGCAGTGCATTGGAAAGATACTTAATGTCAGAGGATGTGATTTCGGTTCAAATCTCAGCTTGTCATTTACTACCCATGTGATCTTGGGCAAGTCACTTCAGCAAGACCTCCTTGGTTCCCAATTTCCTCATCTGTTGTTGTTTGTCCTACACTGTCAAAGAGGACCAATGGCATCACAGAGTGAAAAAAAAAAACAAAACAAAGGGGTTGGCCTAGAGGACATTTCCAGTCCCTTCCAGCTCTAAATCTATGACTATGAAAACACAAGGAAACAATTTCAGACTAGGACCTACAATCAGACATGAAAAGGCATTTTAATGCTTATTTTCTGCTCTCCTTGGCTCTGTTCCTTGAGAATGTTTTACTGTAGGAAAAGTAATAGCATGGAGTCTTACATATAGAAGAATATTTCACCCTTGGTTTTTTCCCCTTAGTGCCCCATTTTCCCCTTGGAATGAACAGGTATCTCCACAAGCTTCTGGTGGCTGACCTTAGAGTAACTAATGAGGCTCAATTTTTAAATCTGCCTGGGAGGATAGGGACAAAAAGCCAGCCAACATTAAATGCTCATCTCCTTTTCAAGGTACTACTTAGCTTATCTGCATGAATTAGTAAACACCAGCCTTTACTTAAATGTCTATCAATAGTCGAGAACCAGTAGGAACACAGAGGAGCACCCTTTGTTCTCTTATCTTTCTGACTATAAACCGAGGTACTACTTAACAAAGGTGAACTTGAAAAGAAAACTCATCTAGGCAAGGAGAGCAGCTTCTATTGACATGCAAAGTTTTCATTCCCACACCTAGCCAGAAAGTAGAAAGTAGGGGAGAGATCTGGAGTCAGGGAAGGGGGTTATGATCTGCCCCTGTCACTTCCTACCTCCGTGGAAGTAAGCAGCTTCAATGTCTCTGGGCCACCCACTTCCCCATCTGTAAAATGAGGGGCTTGGACTACATGGCCTCTGAGGTCTGCTCAAGTTCTATGGATCTAGATGCACAGGATTCCTACCTTACAGAGGAAGAGTGATGCTCAAAAAGGGGAAATGACTTGCCCAAGGGCACACAAATACTACTCAGTGGAGCTGAGACTTAAACCTACGTCTGCCACCTTCTAGGGTCCAGGGCTCTTTGTATCTCAGTTTTCCCAGTCCCTCCCTGTCTCCCAGTTCATCCCAGCTTGGATGAAGTTCCAGTTGTTGTCAATGTCGGGAGTTTGTTCACTGATGCAGTCTGAGAGTCCAAATCTGATGCTGAGTTCAATATCAATTGGGTATTTAGGGGAAACATTGAGGTAGAGCGTAAAGGGGTTGGACCCTGAGGTCAGAAGAACATGGCTCTGAATGCCACTGCACACTAACTTATTAAGTGACCTCAGAACCTTAGTTTCCTTCTTCATCTTTCAAATGGAAACACAACATTTATCATCCCTAAGCCTTGTTGTGAGGGAAACCCATTGTAAACCTTAAAGCATCACAGAAATGGAAGCTACTATTATTTATTATTCGAATTAGGAAAAAATGAAAATCCATTTCCAAAGTACAACATGACTCAATGAATGGAAAGTCTGATGTGGGTTGGGCAAATCAAATATAACAAAGACTTACAATAGTTCTCCATACCATGTGTAATACAATACTATTTTAGCAAAAGTATGGCCATAACGAGGGCAGGCAATAGCGTCTTTGCTCCAAAAGACCAAATTTAGAAGATGCTAACAGCATGTGAGGTTCTTTGGTAAGCTGGGGCAAGCTCCTCCACCCTCAGCAACAGCTCTTGCAAAGCCTTGAGCCAATGTCCATGGGTCCCTATTGCTACTTCTGGGGGAGTGTCTGACTCTCCCCTTCCACTGAAGGTGATTTGGCATCACTTAACCCATCCCCAACAATGCCTAGTAGTGTCTCTCCATAAAAGAAAGTGTCTCTGGTTTAACAGGCTAATTTAGATAGCTAATTTCTTGTCCAACAGCCAAGTAACCTAAGCTAAGCTTATTCTACTAGCTTTTCTTAAGTCAGATCACATTGAATAACTATGCTGCAAATATAGAAGACCGCAAAAGTTTACTGTATCTGAAACTGGCAGATTAGGGACTAAAAGTGGTTGGGGGGTAGGGGGAGCCTCTTCTTTGAGCAATTATCATAAAAGGTTTCAAAAATTAACAAATGCTGGAGGGGATATGGGAAAAACAGGAACACTACTGCACTGTTGGTAGAGCCATAAACTAGTCTAATCATTCTGGAGAACAATTTCGAACTGTGCCCAAAGGGCTATAAAACTGTGCATACCCTTTGACCCAGCAATATGGCTACACGGTCTTTACTCCAAAGAGATCAAAGAAAAGGAAAAAGGACCCTAATGTACAAAATATTTATAGCAGCTCTTTTTGTGGTGGCAAAGAACTGGAAACTGAGGCGATGCTCAACTGGATGACTGAACAAGTTATGAATGTTATGAAGTACTACTATTCTGAGAAAGGATGAAGGGGATGATTTCAGAAAAACCTGGGAAGGCTTATGTGAACTGACTGATGCAAAGTGAAGTGAGCGGCACCAGGAGAATAATCTATACAGTAACAATATTGTAAAGACTATAATTGTAACGCAGTAGCTCTAATCAATACAATGATCCACCACAATTCCAAAGGACTCATGATGTAAAATTCTATCCACCTTCAGAAAGAGAACTGAGGGACTCAGAGTACAGATTGAAGCATGTTTTTTTTCCCCTTCTTTGTTTTTCTTGCTTTTTTTGGAACATGGTGAATATGGAAATATATTTTGCTTAACTCGTGTGTAAAATAGGTATCATATTTCTTGCCTTCTCAATGGATGGTGGAAGGGCTAGAAAGAGGGAGAGAATTTAGAATCTGTAACTGAAAGTGAAAATAAAATTCAAAAAAATAAAAGGTTTCAAAATATTTTTTGCAACCAAACCATTCAAAAATAGGGCATGCCTAACAACTGATCTTCTGGCCTCTACCTAAAAACCTCCGTAGCCTGTTCTAGTAATGACATATTTTATGGTTAAGGGAAATATAAGGCTGACTTCTTTCTCCCTCCATCAATTTTCCATTCAGAACTTTAGCTAGAAGGTAGCTCTACCAGGACCCCAAAACAAGGTCAAGCTCAACGTGTTAGATGTAAGAATTCTGCATGAGTGAGAGGTAAAGGGCTTTTTCTTTAATCCTTTGTAATAGTCAAAGACTCTCAGTTTTAGATGGAATTTTTAAATTATCTCATCCACCCCATGCTTGAGGTACCTGGCACATAGTAAGTGCTTAATGAATGATTGCTGACTGTATGCTAGAAATCCCTTCTGTGGCATTCCTGGCCATCCATCCTCAGCTCGAAGACCTCTCCGCTGATGGTGAAACTTTCCTAAATAGTGTGTGGTCACCTAGGTGGTATAGGTAATAACAGCAGCTTACCCCTAGGTAACAGTTTAAAGGATGTCACATATTCTCTCCTAGTCATTCATATTTTTAAAAAAAGCAGCTGGGCATAGTGGTGCACACCTATACTCCTTGCTGCTGGGGAGGCTGAGGCTACTGGATTGCTTGAGCTCAGGAGTTCTGAGTTATAGTATATTAAGGCACTAGGTCTCTGTACTAAGTTTGGCACTAATATGGTGAGCCACCAGGAATGGGTGGCCATCAGGCTGCTTAAAGAGGGGGGTACTGAGGCAGGTTGGAAAAAAGAGCAAGATAAAGTTGATTAGTAGAGAGATCAAGTATGTGAGTGGCCACTAGACTTCCAGCCTCAGTGAGACGGGAAGGGAAGGGAAGAAAAGGGAAAGGAAAAAATGACATGGTAATAGCAGGATATAAGTTAAGGGAGAAAATATCAAGTAGGTCAAGGGAAACAAGGAGAATGTTTCAAGAAGTTTATTGGAAACCCAGTGTACTTAGTATCAGAAAAGCAAGGAACTAGGGACAGATAGCCATAGTAAAGAAGTTTATTGGAAACCCAGTGTACTTAGTATCAGAAAAGCAAGGAACTAGGGACAGATAGCCATAGTAATGGTCCTAAGGGACACATCTGCCCACTGATTTGGTCCCAGGTGACCCTCCAAGAGCAGTCAGGAGGACTGAAGAAGCAGCCTTATGAAGACGATGGTAGGACTCCTCTGAAGAGCCAACTGTGTTCTTTCCTTGAAAGGGCTAGCCCTTACCTACCTGACCATGCTGCCTTTATTACCTTCACTGAAGAGCACAATGACATGAAGATATACAACATGAACTGACAATTCTTGGACCAAGCTGGACCCCAGATCAAGACAAAAATAAGATAAACAATGTCCAGAATAACTGAGCAAGGTCAGCTTGTAATTGCCATGTCAGCATCCAGCAGAACACCCACCACGGGGGGTCTCCTGGCAACTTCCCTCAGTATGTTCTTGTGGTCCTTGAAGAAGATACTTCACTATCCCATAATGACCTCTTCCTCTCAGCCTTCTAAAAAGAAACATGTTTACAAGGTCAAACCCGGAACAGAGAGATAGTAATCTAGAACAAAGAGCCTTCCCAAGATGTTTCTGCCGTAACAAAGTAGCAGATGACAATACCACCTATCCATAAAACCCCAGAGTAGTGGCAACCTTCATCAGAGCTGACCCTTGCTGAGAAGAGTGCTGTCTTGGTTTTCCCTCCCGACGTGGACATCAGAGGACCCTCGGCCTCTCCCCCAGACTCTCCCAGGCTTGCAGGTAGGCTGCTACTTTCTGAATTTATCAAAGTCTATCTTTCTTTGTTGGTGCTCCCTACCTCACTCAGTCTTTTTACCTAACTAGGAGCTTTAATATTGCCAAGAGGGAATGATTTTAATAGGACCCTGGGGAAGTTATTTTTCTTGATCTCACTTGTCTTCTCTGGGGTTTCTTCTTTCCCTGCAAGCTACAACCTCCACTGATGCCCCCAACAATCTGTTAGGCCCATCGCATAAGCTCTTCCCCCTTCTAGGTATGTTATCTTCTTCCCCTGATGGTGTGCCCGAGATCCTGTGATTAGTTGCAAAGGCTGAGTTTTCACTGGCCAGGCACACCCCATTGAGCTAAATCCCCATTCTGATTTTCAACAATATACACCATTGTCTTTTAGCAAAGACATTTGTAGTATCACCCATGTATATTTTCATTTTGGATACTTAACATATTTACACTTGGGTTTTCAAAGAAGGATCTGTAAGAGTATATGTAGGTTGCTAGGTCCCGGTCCTTCAAGATGTAAACTATTACCAAAGCTAAAACATCTCAAATTCATGTGCCTCTTGAAATGTGAGTTTAAAAAAAGCCTATTCGCATGGTAGAAATAGCTCTGACAATTCTGGTAGAACATGCCAGGGTAGAATTTTATAAAGAGAGTTACTAAATACACCTTTTATTACATAAGAGAGAAATGCAAATGAGAAGAAAGGAAAATCCACATAGAGAAGGGGCAAACTGCAATTTTAAAGAGCATCTTGCAAGGGCTCTTAAGGCCAAGAAGATGCTTTTTGGATCTATTAAAGGGAAAAGCAATTTCAAAGCATCAGTGGGGCTACTGAAAGATCACAGGTCACACTTACTGGACTGAAAAGAAGGCAGAGGAAAAAAAAGAGGTCTTTGTCTTCTAGTATAATCCTTGGATCCCCAAATTCATAGGCCAGAAGCATGAGATCAAATAGGAGCAAACAGGATGTCCTAGACTTAATCAGTAAATTAAATGTAGCTCAAGCCCCCAGAGGACCTATGTGGGAAGGCTGTGAAGTAGCTCAAGGAGGAAACTCTTGACCAATGTGTATTACTTATTTTTAGAAATGGCTACTCTGGAAGTTAAGGATTGACAATATAATTTCTGGTGAAGTCAGACATGTTAAGAGAAATGACAACAAGCTTTTCCCAACCTTAGGTCAGTCATAGAATCAGATCTAGAGCTGCCAAGGACCTTGGAGGCTATAGTGAGCTCTCTCAGTTTTCAGAGGAGTAAACTGAGGGGTAGGGAAACTAATGACTTGCCTAAGGTAACAGAGTCAGGCACTTGTCACAGTCAGGACTGGAGGCCTATTCCCCTGCCTCCAGAATCACGGTGTCTTTCTATTGTACCATACACCCACCTGGCCAACAGGTGGAGAATTGCGGTAGTCATAGTAACTCATGAAGGCCATGCACCAAGGTGGATCTGTAACTTCTATGCTTTGCTGCTCCCTATGCCCTAATTCGAACCCTTGTCCTGTTTCCATTCATCTGTTGACCCCCTTTAAATCCCAATCCAAATGCCACCTCCTCTGAGAAGCATCCCATGATCCCCTTATGAGCGACGATGACTTCACAGAGCATTTTGTAAGCCCCTCGGTCGTACACTGGTCACGTAATACTGAGTATCATAAAAATCTGTGCATGTTTGTGTCATACCCACCTCCCCACTAGCCTGATGGCTTCATGAGAGGAGGCACTGTGTCATAACTAACCTTTGGCCATTTCTCAGGGCCTAGTATGATATTTCATTTGAGGCATCACTTTAGAAATGTTTGTTGAATGACCTCAAGGAAAGGAGGCCACATCAATGGAAATCACAGATCTTTGAAAAGTATTAAAGTATATATACTCTGTTTACAAAGACAAGGATTTGCATTCTATATACTTAAGATAGATTTCATGGCACAGGGAAAAGAGTATTGGCCTCTGGAGTCAGAGGACCTGGGTTCCAATTCCACCTCCAACATTACTATGTGACTTTGGCCAAATTACTCAATCTCCCTAGATCTCAGTTTCCTTATCTGTTCAAAATGAGGTCTGGCCTAGCAGCCTCTGAGATCCCTTTCTGCTCTGGTTCTATGATTACCTAAAGTCCAAAATAATTAAGTTTCAGAAAGCTTTGCTTACAAACCAGGAAGTTTGCTTACACAAAGCACTTCTCTCCGACGAACCCAGATTGACAAAGTATTAACTTGACTATGCTCCATAGCCATTAAGCCAACTTGCAGACTATAATGCTTGCTAAATCAAACCTTTAATAGAATTGCCCCCAAGAGGGTAGCCGAATTGTTTCCCCCAACTTTAGAGATGTTCATGGATGAAAGGTCCATGAGATTTATTAAGGTAAACTCAGTTGCCCAGTAGGGCCATCCCAAGCCTTTGGTGACTCCCTCCCCTGTCCTGCTCCCACCATACTCTCCCTCTATGCCCGGAGCAAGGAGTGGAGGGCCAGCTGGCCAGACTATGCATCTTGCCAGGTGAAGCAATTCAGAAGCTTCTTTCAAACAGATGCTTCCTGTCCCAAAGGTATTCATTCTTTATTTCCCCACCGCTTGGAGAAAAAGAGTTATATAAACATGTCAAGAATGTTTGTTGAGTTCTGAGAATGGGTTTTAAAATATATCAAAATTCCTGTTTGGGAAGGGTTACTGTGATGTCTATTCAGGGCACTTCGTTATTTCTTTCAAGAAAACCTGGGCCTGGCAAAACAAATATTTCCAAAATATCCGAGAGGAGAGCAAAAATAAGATGCTGAACTAGATCCAGCTCCCCAGCCACCCCCAAAGTCAAAATCTTAGGGTCCTGTCCTGGGAGCTTGAATGGAGCCTTGACCTGAAGTCAGCACAGCTCAGGCCAGATCAGGAAACTTTTTCTGGAAAACGCCAGTGGGTCATTTGTTTTCCTGTAAATCAGAATTCCAGAAAGCAAAACCACCCTTGTCTAGGCCAGAGACGAACAAGAAAGCAGGTAGGATTCTAAGTGAGAGTGAGAACCAAAACAAACCAAAAATACATCAGTGGGAGCAAAGAGTAAATAAAGAAAAGGGGAAGAGGAGGGGACGGAGAAAACAATATGTCCCTGTTTTTCATTCTAAAAATATGATTGCCCTAAACGTGGTATGCCGCACATGTGCCTTAAGTGTGGCCAATGCACGGTTTGGACATACAATAGGACACACTAAAGAGGGTCAGTGGATCATGAATCTGGAGCTACAAGGGACTTCAGAGGTCATCTAGTTCAAACTCCTCCCCTTCATTTTATAAATGAGGAAACTGAGGCCCAAGAGACATACCCAAGGTCCCACAAGTCATAAATGTCAGAGGCAGTTGAATCTGAATGCCAAGGTCACACAGTTATATTCCAGCACTAGGACTCCAATCCCATATCCAGAGTAAGAGGAGGCCTTACACGAGGGCCTTTTTCCTATTCCACAGCAATACTGGGAACACATGAGAGAAGTCAAGAAATATGGCTCCAATGTGCAAATCTACCACTAGTACCTGTGTGACCTTGGGCAAGTCACTGCCCCTCTTTGGGCCTTTATCCCCATACACAAAATGAGGAGGCTGGACTACATGCTAGCCAATGTTTCCTTCAGTTGCAACAGGCTACAAGTGTCAGTTCTGTCACTCTACTTTTAGGCCTCAGTTTCCCCACTGGTACAAAGAGGAAGCTGGACCAGATGACTGAGACAGCATGGTACAGAGGAAAGAGGCTAGCTTTGGGGTCACAGGACCTAAGATCCAATCAGGACTCTGCTCCTTGCTGCTTGGGTGACCCTGGGCAAATCACCACCCCTCTAGATCTCAAGCTCTCAACCTATAACCTAGGATATGTTAGAGCCAAAAAGGGACTTTAGGTGGTCCAGAGGACCACGATAACACCTGGCCAAGGGAATGGAAAACTTTTAGCACTGAGCACATTAAGGAAAAATCCCTCCTCGAGCAACTATCACTGAAAGGGCCCCCACAACTGGACGTTCATGAAACCGTTCACAATGGGGACTTATATGATGACCAGGCTCATAAAAAGAGATAGTCATTCATTCTTCCTATCTGGGCCCAGGCAAACCTGGGCAAACTGTGCCCCATGAGAAAGCTCATCTATTGGAGATGCGGTGGGGCCCTCCAGCAGGCTTCTGGGCCAAGGCCCATCTCTCCAAGATGCTGTAGGGCAGCCTCTTCCAAGAGGAGGAAGTCTGCACCAACACAGCATGGGAGGTCCACACCTCAGGCTAAAGGCTCAGCCCCAGCTAATGTCTTGCCTTTTTGTTAACAAAGCAAAGATAATACCCAAGGCAGCTTCCTCTTCTGAGTGGGAGCTGGGAATGTTACAGAAGCAAGGGCATGTAGGGGGGGTGGGGAGGATACCACAAACATTTGGGCAAGTAACTTCAAATCCTTCTGCCTGGCTCATTTTCCCCAGATGCTTCCACCTCCTCCTTCCCTTTGCTGGGGAAGAAAAATTCTGGGGAGTAGGGCTTCCTTTGCTACCTGAGCATACTGCTTCCAAATGTATCCTTTCCCCTCTCTTCTTCAACTCTCCCCCATCTGCCCTGTTCTTTCACTTCACCTGCCAAAAGCACCCTGGGTCTGGGACAATGTTTCATTGAGATGACGGCCCTCATTTTGATATCAATGTTGCCACAGCCTTTCCTGTAGGATGACAGAACAAGGGGACTTTGGAGTAAAAAAATGTTGGCCATCACCTACTCCAACACTCTAATTTTACAGTTGGGGATACTGAGGCCCATAGACTGGAAAGGCCATATGATGAGACTATCTAGAACTGACAGAGACACAAAGAATCTAAGGCCTGTCGGGGCCCACAGTAGCCATGAAGTCCAACCAAGCCTTTCCTGAGCAGGAATCCCCTTTATAACATGACTGACAAGTGGTAGTCCAGCTTTTACTTGAAGGCTACCAATGAGAGTGAAGTTATTAGCTCCCGAGGCAGTCCTTCTCCGCCCCCTT